TCGTTGCCCTCTCGCTGGCCTCCGTGACCCCGTTGCTGCCCTCAGTGGCTCCGCCCTTGCCTTCTGCGGCCGAATATACGTATGCCCTTCGTGGCCCCCGCTCGTTCGCGCCCGTCGTGGCCCCATGTGCATGCCCTGCCTGGCACCGCTGTCGCCCTTTGTTGCCCCCTTGCTGTCCTACGTGGCCCCGTTGCTACCCTCAATGGCCCCATCGTTGCCCTCTGTGGCCCCGCATTATCTGCCCTTCGTGGCCCCCGCTCGTTCGCGCCCGTCGTGGCCCCATACGCATGCCCTTCGTGGCCCCGCCGTCGCCCTTTGCGGCCCCGTTCCTGCCGCTCGTGGCCACGTTGTCGCTCTCGCTCTCGCTCTCGCTTTCGCTCGTCGTCGTCGTCGCCGTCGTCGTCGTCGTCGTCGTCGTCGCCGTCGTCGTTGTCGTCGTGGTTGGTCCCCTGTCCGTCCCTCTTGGGGTCGGGTTGCCGCCGTTCAGCGCTGCCGCTGGCCAGGCCGACGGTCCGCGGCCGCCCCGCCGCTTGCCGGGGCCTGGCCTGCAGGGACGAAAAATACACCCCCAAAAGGGGTACGATCGAAGACGGGGGGCGGGTATCAAGGGTTTGGGAAATACACGTTGAATGACATTCGAGCAGATAAGAGCAAACCGTCTTTGTGGTTGTTGAACATTATTTATGCTAAAGAATAATTATTGTTGGGACCCCTGGTGCGCGACCCCCTCGCCGCGCCTAGGCCGCAGCTACATTTTCATCATTTTCGTGAGGAAGCCTCAGGTAATACGATGTCATCAAGATCCGGTTGTTTTGTTCCCCCCGCTGTCCCTTGCAAAAAACACTATAAAATGAAATTTCTTGTTCTAAATAACCAAACTTCAAGAATCCCTTGCAAAAAATAAGGTAAAGTGGACATTCGCGCGCGCAAGACGAAATCCTTCCAAAACCTTAGTGTTCGTAGCGATTTCAACATAAAAACATCAAAAAAACCAATGGTTTTTTAAACAAAAAAAGTGTCACAATTTCATCCCGCGCGCTCTTGCGGATTTGCAGGAAACCCAACTTTTTTAAACATTTCTGTCAAACGGGCTTTTGCGATCAACTTCTTCACGTGCTTCGAACTTCTCCAACAACGGTTGCGCACCTGCCAGGGCCATCACCCCTGTCAAATAATACCATGCGGGACACATTCGTTTTTTCTTTCCGTGCGCACGCCGAAATCTTCAAAAACCATTGGGTTTCGTAGGAATTTTAGCACAGCGCAACATAAAATCATTTTTCGCACCGTAGGCCCTTCAAATCGTCGTCGTCGTATACTAAGCTAGTTTCCACAAGATGTTACCACAAGAAGTCATTGAAACCATGCGCCAGTGTAGTAGCCACGGTCGTCCGCATGCCACGAAGTGAAGTGTCCGAACGTCATAGGGCGGGAAGCTGGGTGTGGGTGGTGGCGAAGAGTCGTTTGGAAATTTGGTAGAGCTTGAACCGGCCCCCCCACAAAGTGGGGGTATTGCCCGCCTCCTATGAAAACCCTGGCACTGGTGAGAACGGAGTGTCCCCACGTGCTAGTAATTGTTGTTGTTGTTGTTGTTGTTGTTGTTGAACATTATTTATTCTAAAGAATAATTATTGTTGGGCCCCCTGGTGCGCGCCCCCCTCGCCGCGCCTAGGCCGCAGCTACATTTTCATCATTTTCGTGAGGAAGCCTCAGGTAAAACGATGTGATCCAGATCCGGTTGTTTTGTTGTAATCCGCTTTCCCTTGCAAAAAACACTATAAAATGACATTTCTTGTTCTAATATAATCAAATTTCAAGAATCCCTTGCAAAAAATAAGGTAAAGTGGACATTCGCGCGCGCAAGACGAAATCCTTCCAAAACCTTAGTGTTCGTAACGATTTCAACATAAAAACATCAAAACACCAATGTTTTTTTTTTTTTTTTTTTTTTTTTTTTTTTTTTTTTTTTTTTTTTTTTTTTTTTTTTTTAAAAAAAAAAAAAAGTGTCAAATTTCATCCCGCGCGCTCTTGCGGATTTGTAGGAAACCCAACTTTTTTAAACATTTCTGTCAAACGGGCTTTTGCGATCAACTTCTTCACGTGCTTCGAACTTCTCCAACAACGGTTGCGCACCTGCCAGGGCCATCATCCCTGTCAAATAATACCATGCGGGACACATTCGTTTTTTCTTTCCGTGCGCACGCCGAAATCTTCAAAAACCATTGGGTTTCGTAGGAATTTTAGCACCGCGCAACATAAAATCATTTTTCGCACCGTAGGCCCTTCAAATCGTCGTCGTCGTATACTAAGCTAGTTTCCACAAGATGTTACCACAAGAAGTCATTGAAACCATGCGCCAGTGTAGTAGCCACGGTCGTCCGCATGCCACGAAGTGAAGTGTCCGAACGTCATAGGGCGGGAAGCTGGGTGTGGGTGGTGGCGAAGAGTCGTTGGAAATGTTGGTAGAGCTTGAACCGGCCCCCCCACAAAGTGGGGGTATTGGCGGGCGTCGTATGAAAACCCTGGCACTGGTGAGAACACTGAGCGTTCGGGTAAAATGATTGTTGTTGTTGTTGTTGTTGTTGTTGTTGTTGTTGTTGTTGTGTTGTTGTTGTTGTTGTGTTGTTGTTGTTGTTGTTGTTGTCGTCGTTGATCTCCCATTATTGAAGAACCATTGTTGTTGATCACCCCCTCTGGTGACCATTGTGTGTTTTTCAGTTGGAGAGTCACTCGGCTCAAACTGTGCACCTGGCCCCCGGGTCACAACAACAACGGCTCCCGCATGAGACTTCTTCACAATTTAGCCAGGATTCCCGCTCCCGCCTGGGAATTCCTCGCATTTTACTAAGAGTTGGGCTTTTGTTTTGGATGTCCCTACAATTTATTCAGGAATCGCTTTCCTGGCGCTCTGGAGTCGCGCTGTCGCTGGAGACTTGCTGGCAATTTCCTCAATAATCGCTCTTTTGTGTTGGATTTCCTCACACTTTACTCAAAACGTCCCCGACACTCAGGCACCCAAGAGTAGCGCTCACGCTTAGGATTCCGTCACAGCTTATTTACGAATCGGGCTCTCGCTGCCGTTCGTGGCCCCGTTGCAACCCTTCGTGGCCCCCTCGCTGCCCTTCGTGGCCCCGTTGCAGCTCTTCGTGGCCCCTTCGCTGCCCTTCGTGGGCCCGTTGCAGCCCTTCGTGGCTCCTTCGCTGCCCTTCGGGGGCCCGTTGCAGCTCTTCGTGGCCCCCTCGCTGGCCTCAGCGAGCCCGTTGCAGCCCTTCGTGGCCCCATCGCAGCTCTTCGTGGCCTCGTTGCAACCCTTGGTGGCCCCCTCGCTGCCCGTCGTAGACCCGTTGCAGCCCTTCGTGGCCCCCTCGCTGCCCTTCGTGGCCCCGTTGCAGCCCTTCGTGGCCCCCCTCGCTGCCCTTCGTGGCCCCGTTGCAGCCCTTCGTGGCCTCTTCGCTGCCCTGCGTGGCCCCGTCGCTGCCCTCAGTTGCCCCGCCTTTGCCCTCTGCGGCCGAATATACGTATGCCCTTCGTGGCCCCCGCTCGTTCGCGCCCGTCGTGGCCCCATGTGCATGACCTTCGTGGCACTGCTGTCGCCCTTCGTGGCCCCTTTGCTGTCCTACGTGGCCCCGTTTCTATCCTCAGTGGCCCCGTCGTTGCCCTGTGTGGACCCGCATTATCTGCCCTTCGTGGTCCACGCTCGTTCGCGCCCGTCGTGGCCCCATATGCATGCCCTTCGTGGCCCCGTCGTCGCCCTTCGCCCCCTTCTTGCCGTTCGTGGCCCCGCTGTCGCTCTCGCTCTCGCTTTCGCTCGTCGTCGTCGTCGTCGTTGTCGCCGTCGTCGTCGTCGTCGTCGTCGTCGTCGTCGTCGTCGTCGTCGTCGTCGTCGTCGTCGTCGTCGTCGTCGTGGTCGGTCCCCTGTCCGTCACTCTTGGGGTCGGGTTGCCGCCGATCAGCGCTGCCGCTGGCCAGGCCGACGGGCGGCCGCCCCGCCGCTTGCCGGGGCCCGGCCTGCAGGGACGAAAGATACACCCCCCAAAAGGGGTACGATCGAAGACGGAGAGGGCGGGTATCGAGGGTTTGGGAAATACACGTTGAATGACACTCGAGCAGATAAGAGCGAAGGCCAGGATGGGCCTCGCCATGGCGCTCCCTCAGGTTGCTGGCCAGGATGGGCCTCGCGAGTTTGTCTCCAATCATCGTGGGCCTGGGCAGCTTGGCCCAGAGGCGCTCGCGCCTCCGCCTGGCCTCGAGGCGCCCAGGCGCGGTGCCCATCGCCAGCGCCGCGTTTTTCCTTTGCCTCTTCTTCCTGTGGATGGGCGCCGCCGCCTGCCCCTTGGTCGAGCGGCGCGTCTTCGAGCTGCCAAAGGCGCGGGCTGGCGAGAGTGGTGCAGCGAGGGGCTGTCCGCTCCCAGCTGGCTCCATTGCGGCAAAGACGAACGCTGCGCGACCCAGGGCGGTGTTGCAGCGCCCGCTGTGCAGGCAGCCTCGGTGGAGCATCTTGCGGGCCTCTGCCGCGTGTTCGAGCTGCCTGCCGCCCGCTCGGAGGGGAGCAGCGCCTGCGAAGCACCCCTGGTAGAGATGCTCGCTCGGGCACCTGGCTACGCTGGCGACGGCGGTCGGGCGCGGCCCTGCAGCCACCGCTCGTGGCCTCGCCCCAGTCGACGAAAGCTGTTTTTACTTGCGACGTCGTCTCGGAGGTCGATTCCATCGTGCTGCTGGGTTGGAGGCAGAGTATGCTGAATCCCGAGTCGGTTGCAGCGGAGCTGTCGGACGCGCCGGGCATCGACCGCCCGTGCGTGGGCCCCGAGCTGCGCTCCAGCCAGAGTCTCGCGCTCAGTTGTTGAAGCAGCTGGAGGCCCACGACGTGATCATGTGGCGGGCCGCCAGCCCTCAGTCTTAAGCTCACTCAATCGGTTTATTCTTTGCGGAGAAGTCCAATCGCATGCCCGGGCTCGCGCTCGACTTTCGGCTGGCCAACTGCAGTTTCGCGGCGCCCCCAGCCGCCGAGATCCCCGCGCCCAGCGCGTGGGCTAGTGTCGACTGCGATGACAGTTTCGTGTTTGCTCAGGGGTGCATCCAGTGTGCCTTCTATCGCATGCGCTTGCCTGCAGGGATGGAGTCGCTGTTCTCGCTGCCTGCGATCTCCAACAGACACATCGGTTTCAAATCTACCAGCGGGGGGTTCCCACCGGTATCAACGATTTCGTACAACATTTGATCGCAGTTGTCCCTGTGGGGTGGAGTTGGGCGTTGCACTTCTGTCAGGGCGCCCTCGTTCGAGCTTTATCCGATGCTGGCTTCGAGAGCAGTGACATGATTGTTGATAGGTGCAGCCCGCGTCCGTTGGTCGATCAGAATGATGCCATATGTGCCGGATATGTTGTCAACTTCTGTGTCGTCTCAAAGACCCCAGAGATTGCCACCTCTCGGGCTCGTGCCGTTGCCGATCTTCTCACCTCCAGGGGTCTACCTCTCTTGGTGTTCTCGGGGGCTGTCAGCAAGGGGGTCTTCACGGGGCTGCAGATCGACTGGCTGTCTGGCATCGTCCATGCTCCTCCCGATCGTCTCGCCCGAACTCGCCAAGCCGTTCTGGGTCTCTTGCGACGTGGGCGGGCCTCCGCGGGGGCCCTCAGCGTGCTGGTGGGCCACTGTACTTGGGGGCTGATCTTGAGACGGGACGTCCTGACCATCTTCAATTCGGTCTATCGGTTCATCAACGTGGTCAGGGCTCAGCCGGCACCTCTTTGGGGGTCTGTGGCCAGGGAGCTGCGGGCCGCGGCGGCCCTGATCCCGCTCTGGAGCGCCTCTACCAGGTCTAGTTGGTCTTCGCGGACCCGTGCTTCTGATGCGTCGCCGTGCGGGAAGGGGGTGTGCATTAAGGACATCCCCCCTGTCTTGGTTTCAGAGGTTTGCCGCGTCGCCGAGAAGTGGGGGTGCCGCCAGGCCTCCGGCGTGCTCGCGAGGTCCCATGCAGCCGAGACCGTCGGCTCACACCGTGATGTGGCCGATCGTTGTCCGCATGCTGGTGCTTGCCAGGTCCACCCCGGCAGCCCGGTTCAGGCCTGTCAGAGCTTTCTGGAGGTTGCTGAGGCTGTCTTCGGGTTCGACGGCTGGGGGATCACCCATTCGAGCAGGCGCTCTCGTTCAGGTTGCGACATCTTGCAGTGTGGGGCCGAGGCCCCGGGGTTCAGTGGCCACCGCGCCTCCAGGACTCTAGGAGCCCACCGTCATCGTGTCGTCTGCCTCGTCGACAACTTGGCTCTAGCCCTCTCCGTCGGCAAGGGGCGTTCGGGCAGCCCGCGCCTCGCGCGCGCTCTGGGGCGCCTCTCTGGCATCGCTCTCGCACGTGGCTTGCGCGCGCTGGTGCGCCGGGTGCCCGCTGAGCGGAATGTCGCCGACAAGCCGTCGAGAGAAGGCTTCTTCGTCGGCCCGAGCTTCGAGGGCTACTTCTCGGATCAGGTGTCGCGGCGACCGCGGCAGCCCAAGGGGGGCGGTCAAGGCCGCGAGGGCTCGGGCGGTCCACCCGGGGCCCTCCAGCCTCTCGCGCGGGGGCCTGTCGGTGCTGGAGGCGTCGGCGGCCTCGGCCGCCGCGGGCAGGAACTACCGCGCCAGCGCCCAGAAGTTTTTGAGGTGGTGCCTCTGGGCCGCGAGGGGCTCCGAGAGCAGCGCCGAGCTCGACGCCGTCCTTGTCGTGTATTTCGCCCGCCTGTTCCTGGGCGGCTACGACGGCGCCGCGGGCCGCGCCGCGCTGGCCGCGCTGCAGCACCACCTCCCCGCCCTGCTGATCGGGGGCAGGCCGCTGCCGCGGGCTTTTCGGGCGCTTCAGGGGCGGGCGAAGCTCGCCCCGCCCCGGACGGGCCTGCTGCCCCTGCGCGTGGCCATGTTGGCCCAGGGCCGCCTCGCGGAGGCGACCTTCGTGAGGCTCGCGTTCGGCGCGTGCCGCCGCCCGAGCGAGGCCTGCCGCCTTGCCGCCGCCTTGCTGATCGCTCCGCGGCTCGGGTCGAAGGGGGGCCACCAGCACTGGGCCATCCTGGTGAACGAAACCGCGAGCGGGGGGCCTGGCAAGACGGGCGTCGCCGACGAGAGCTTGATCGTCGACGGCCCCTTGCTGCGGCCGCTGCTCGACTCCCTTCGTCAGGGGCGACGACCCGAGGCGAGCCTGTGGAGCTTCTCGCCCGAGCAGGTCCGCCGGGCCTTCAAGGCTGCCCTGGCGACGCCCCAGCTCGACGGCGAGCAGACGTCGCTGTGCCCCCTGCGCCGCGGAGGAGCGTCAGACGACCTCCTGTCGGGGCGTCGGGCTCGCAAGGAGGTCAAGGACCGCGGCCGCTGGAGGACGGGCCAGTCGTTGAACCGATGCGCCAAGCGAGCTCGGATGCAGCAGCGTCTGGGGCAGCTCGCGCCAGCTCTGGGGGAGTTCGGGGGCAGGGTCGAGGCGAACTTCTTGCAGCTGGTGGAGGAGAAGGCGCGGACGGGCATCTTCTCGCTGCACTGCCGCCGCTTCCCCCTGCGTCCGCGCCGCCAGCCGTGAGGTCTGCGCCCGCGCTGACCGACCAGTGGGGCTTCGTTTTAGGAGGCCCTGGCGGCGGGCCCGATCACGCGCGTCTGTCATGCCTTATCATGTGACTTTGTGCATCTGCGCGCCGAATCGTATTCGTCGAGCTTGCGGACATCGTGGGCTTGGAATTGTTGCTATCAACCTTGCTCGCCATCGCTTGGAGGGCGCTGGCGACCCGCGGCTACTGGACGCGTTGCTGTGCTGGGTGCGCTCGTCGGCGGTCCTCGGCTTATTGGTTTCCGTGCCGGCTGTGACCTGGAGGTCAGGGGCGGCCCGCTTGCGCCGATTGGATGCCCCTCTGGAGGGAACGAGCATCTCTGAGCTTGATAGACGTGCCATCCGAGTTGCAAACGCGCTCACCGCCGCCACCTTTAGGCTGATCTCGGAATGCATTTGTCGCGGGGTCCCCGTGATTTTTGCGCATCCTGAAGCTAGCCTGATCTGGGGACATCCCCTTCTCTCCCCTCTCCGTTCCTCCTCTTCCTCCTGCTCTCTCGACTCCTGCATGTTTTCAGGCCGCGTTCGACAGATGATGTTCGTGGTCGGTAGGGGCGCTCGGGACCTCGACTGCCTCTCGCGTCGTTGCCTCTGCCCCCAGGGCCTGTGTGACCGCGCTGGCCGCCGTCACTTAGGAGGCCTCGGTCGTCCTGCGCTGGATGCCGTTGCTCGAGCCTCGACCCGCGGTCTACCCTTTGAAGCAGCCACCGCAGGCGCGGACATGGTAGTTGCTGCCGCGCGGCAGCTGTCCCGTGCCGCCCGGTATAACAAGGTGTTTGGTCAATGGAGTTTTTCGGCTGTAGCCGTGTGTAGAGACTAGCGTGTGGTACCGAGTCTGTGCTTCTCTTGCTGGCTGTGCACTCTCGAGGCTGCCCTCCGCCGTTCTGCGCAAAAATGGAAAATATGGCTTCGAGAGATCCCGCGTGCCGCGACTTGTCGGCATTTGGGGTGCATGTGTGGCCGTATCCCGGTGCTCAAGTTCTTCCCTGGCCCCCCCGCCCAACTTGAGCAATGATTTTAACCGTGGCCGAGTATGTGCTTCTCTTGCTGGCTGTGCATTCTCGAGGCTGCCCTCCGCCGTTCTGCGCAATGATGGAAAAAGACGGCCTCGAGAGATCTCGCGTCAATGCGCGCCCCTCGACGCTCGCACCCTGTTTTTTGACAGGGGAAGTCTTCGTGCTCAAACTGTGCCCCTGCCCCCCCGGATTGCAACAACAAGGGCTCCCGCCTGTCACGTCCTCCAAATCTATTCAGGACCCTCGCTCCAAAGACTTCCTCACAATTTACTCAGGATCGGTGCTCCCGCCTGTGACTTCCTCGCAATTTAGTCAGGACCGCGCTCCCATCTGAGACTTCCTCGCCATTTACTCAGGAACGACCGCTCCCGCTTGAGACTTCCTCGCAATTGAGTCAAGGTTTCCTCGCAATTTAATCGAGACCCCCGCTCCCGCCAGAGAACCCTTCAAACTTTATCCAGGAATTGCGCTTTCGCATCTGATTTCTATACAATTGATTCAGACATCGCGCTTTCGACGCTCAAGGAACACGCTGCGCCAGGGACGCCGTTACAACTTACTTAGTATTCGCGCTTTCGCCATACTCAGGCATCCCGCTTGAATGTCCCCAGGGGATCGCCCGCCCGTCGTGGGCTCCCGCCCGACACTTCCTTCAGGAACGGCGCTTTCGCTTAGGACTTCCTCGAACGCTCACGCTCTTACATTCCTGTTCCTCCTCCCTTTCCCTCCTCCATCCTCCCTCCTCTCCTCCTTTCTCTCTCCCCCCTATCTTCCCTCATCCTCATGCCTCTCTGCCTTATCCCCTCTCCCTCCTCTCCCTCCTTCGTTCTCCCTCCCCTCTCCTGCCTCCTCCCTCCATTTTTTGTTTTTTTCTCTCATTCTCTTTCTCTCTCTCTCTCCCCTCTCTCTCTCTTCTTTCTCTACCTGTTTTACCCGTCTTTCTCTCTCTCTCTCTGTCTCTCTCTGTCTTTCTTTGCCTCTAATCAACCGCCCCCTGCTTCGCTCCTTCTCTCCTGGCGTTTTCCCTCTTCCTTCGTCCCTCCCCCTCCCTCCCTCCCACTCTTCCTCGTTCTCCCCTTCCTCTGTGTGCAGGTCCCACACCAATTCCAATGGCGGGCACATGTACGCCCACGAAAAATTGTCCGCCCGTTTAGGTTTGCCCGCCAGTCTAAGCCCGCCGCCCCCCCGCAAAGAGACCCCCCCCCAAAAGGGGGTGTGATCGAACACAGAAACGCCGGGTATCGAAAGTGTGGGGAATTCGTTTCGAATGACACACGGGCAAGTAAGAACGATCAGTCTGATAATGATTTTTTTTGTTGTTGCTGCTGTTGTTGTTGCTGTTGCTGTTGCTGTTGCTGTTGTTGTTGTTGATGTTGCTGTTGCTGTTGCTGTTGCTGTTGCTGTTGCTGTTGCTGTTGTTGTTGTGATTGCTGTTTCGTTGTTGTTGTTGTTGTTGCTGTTGTTGTTGTTGTTGATGATGGTGATGATGATGTTGTTGTTTCGTTGTTGCTGTTTCGTTGTTGCTGTTGTTGTTGTTGATGATGGTGATGATGATGTTGTTGTTTCGTTGTTGCTGTTTCGTTGTTGTTGTTGTTGATGATGATGGTGCTGATGATGTTGTTGTTTCGTTGTTGCTGTTTCGTTGTTGTTGTTGATGATGATGGTGATGTTGATGTTTCGTTGTTGTTGTTTCGTTGTTGTTGTTGATGATGATGGTGCTGATGATGCTGTTGTTTCGGTGTTGCTGTTTCGTTGTTGTTGTTGATGATGATGGTGATGATGATGTTGTTGTTTCGTTGTTGCTGTTTCGTTGTTGCTGTTGTTGTTGTTGATGATGATGATGGTGCTGATGATGTTGTTTCGTTGTTGTTGTTTCGTTGTTGTTGTTGTTGATGATGATGGTGATGCTGATGTTGTTGTTTCGTTGTTGCTGTTTCGTTGTTGTTGTTGATGATGATGGTGCTGATGATGTTGTTGTTTCGTTGTTGTTGTTTCGTTGTTGTTGTTGATGATGATGGTGATGATGATGTTGTTGTTTCGTTGTTGCTGTTTCGTTGTTGTTGTTGTTGATGATGATGGTGATGATGATGTTGTTGTTTCGTTGTTGCTGTTTCGTTGTTGTTGTTGTTGATGATGATGGTGATGATGATGTTGTTGTTTCGTTGTTGCTGTTTCGTTGTTGTTGTTGTTGATGATGATGGTGATGATGATGTTGTTGTTTCGTTGTTGCTGTTTCGTTGTTGTTGTTGTTGATGATGATGGTGATGTTGTTGTTGTTGTTTCGTTGTTGCTCTTGTTGCTGCTGCTGCTGCTTCTTGGGTTATTCTTCGGCTTGAGATTCGGGCCCCGAGCGGACGGAGGGCGGCACCAGACGGCCTCTCCGCACCCGGGACGAGCCGCCCCGACGCTCGAGGCTTCGCCGGCGCGCGGTGGAGGTGGCGCGGCCCCTGGGTGCCCGCGGCGCGGCTCCCGCGGGGGCAGTGAACCTTCCTGCCCCCTCCTCCTCCTCCTCCTCCTCCTCCTCCTCCTCCTCCTCCTCCTCCTCCTCCGCTTCCCTCATGCCACTCCTCCTCCTCCTCCGCCTCCTCCTCCTCCTCGTCGTCCTCCCTCGCCTCCACCTCCACAGCTCCTCTACGCACTCTGAGTACCGCTCCCCTCACGGAGGGTCAGCGGGGGGAGAGCCTCTGAGCACGGCCTGGTGGACAGTGAAGGGCCCGAGTCTCCGAGTTTATTGCCTTTGCGGCGGCGTGCGGGGGTATCGGCTCTCCAGCAGTCCTGGGCCAGGCGTTTCGCGACGGTGGATACCTTTACGTCGTCCCGTTCTTCTACCGCTCAGGATCCAGGCTCCCTGAGCAGCCAAAGGCGGTGGGGCTCTCTCGATGGCATCAGAGGTGTGCTAGCCACACCTTTCTGTCGATTGCCCTCGCATCCTCGTGTGCCCCCGAAGGTGGAGCCGCGCGTTGCTTTCGGCTGCCCGTGACCCAAGGTCTCCCCATCTCCCCCGCGAATTATCGTTCCGGGTCTCCGGGCGAAGGTCTTTGGCGTCCCTCCTGGCGGGTGTCCACCTCTCCGCAGCCGCGGCTCGAGGCGCACGGGCCCGCGCGCTCCCCGGGGCCACGCGCCGCACCCGGCCTGCGATGAACGCCGCCGCCGGCGCCAGCGGATGCCGGGCGCTCGTCCCGGGGCTGGCCGGGCGCCTCGCTCGGACGCGGTCGGGCTCATCTCGGCTGCGCGCCAAGACGGCCCCGCCGCCGGAGCGGCCCCGGGCGCGCGGGCCTCCGGGGGCGCCCAGGGGGGGCCGAGGCCGTCGCCTCGGCAGTGCAGCGATCGGCAGGCCGCGCGCCCGGAGGCCGCTCTCGCCCGGGGCCGCCCCCGAGAGCCGACGCTGCGGGCAGCGCGGCAGCCTCGCGGGAAGCCACGACCGGAGCCCTGGGCCCCAGCTTTCCGCAGCATTCTCCGACGAAGGCATGTACACTCCAGGCGATGCTTAAGAAAACTTACGTTTTCGGCCAGAGTCTCGATTATTCTTAAAATGTTTCAGCGTAAATCCTAAGATTTGAATCGACATTCTGGGTTTGATTTCAAATTCTGAGACTATGAATTTCTTAACCCATGATTTCTAAAGCATTTCGCAGGGTGTATACACCACCACCGTACCAGGCCAGGGCCATCCTGGGTTCCAGGATGGTGTATAGACCCTCCTGGCCTCGGCCAGGATGGCGTACACACCATGCCAGGGCCAAGATGGCCCTGGCCTGGCACGGTGGTGGTGTGTAGATGCCTTCTGCGTGCATTCCTGGGGAGGGCCCCCGGGCCCCGAGGCAAGGCGATGCAGCTGGCTCTCGGGGGCTCTTGCCCCGCAGCCGACCATCTTGCGCGGCGCAGTGGGCCAGTGGCGCTCATGCCGGCTGGATCGGCCTGGGGGCCATGGGCTACCCCATGGCGGCCCACGCGGCCCGCCAGGCTTCAGAGGGTGAATCACCTGCCCCGCTCGCGCTTCCAGGCACAGCCGAGCCGCACCAGGCGCCTCCTTGTCAGGCAGCCTGACCGTTGCTGGCCACCCCACGGGTGGTTTGGTACGGTGGAGGAGGAGGAGGAGGAGGAGGAGGAGGAGGAGGAGGAGGAGGAGGAGGAGGAGGAGGAGGAGGAGGAGGAGGGTCCAGGATTGTGCCCAGGAGGCTTCCGATCCTGGAGGATCTCTTATCTGACGAGGGCGGCGGTGAGTGCCATGGCCAAGCCTCACTTGGTGCTCAGCCGGCCTCCGGGCCCCGGATTCCTTGCCCAATGGTTCCTCTTCCAGTACCCCCTCGCCGTACCGCTTGGCTGCCGCTTGACAGCAGAGAGCGGTCCTAGAGCGAGGCAGGCACCCCGACGTGCGACGCCCTGCTTTTCGCACGGGGCCCCCGGAAGTCCCGACCCTTCCCCCAGGGCTGGT